CATGACGAAATTAGCATCGTGGATTCCATTGCTAGTCACCATCCGTCAAATTACTGTCTGAAGTATATTTGTGGAGTAGTAAGGCAACGGTTTATTTTTAAGGTGTGTGAAGTCAGTGATGAACTGTCACTCAAAGCATTATTTTTTTGGTTTTCCTTCATAATCTCCCAACTACTATCCTTGGTTATTTGCAGTTCGAAATTTGAACAAGATGGTATCACATTTCATTGTGACCAATAGTTCAGAACATGTTACTGAAATCAAATGGAAAACTACTGATTTACGAACGTCTCCTTAATTCATACCTGCCGAATTGTATTACATTCTAAGAGATTTTCAACTAATAGAGAATATTTGTAACATAGTAGTTTTATATCCTTAATAACACGCCACTGATTTTCGAAACAAGACATTTAACTGTATTCTAATCATGCTAGACTCCTCATGTACGGAAAAGAGCAACACTGTCCACAGTGGGATTATGATAAAATGAATCAAAGGACCAATTAGACTAAGATAATCCATCAGTCATCCTAATTTCCGAGTGTTCATTTGAGCCTTTTAGAGAATTACAAGCTTCCTGACCACGATTCTTAAAAAGTGAAAAGTCGATGTTTTTGCCTACCTTCATATCTTTTTATGAGGCTCTGAATACTTGAAGTACACGTTTGCCTATTATTTTATTGAAACCTAGAATATCTAAAGGCTTAAGTAATCTTTGTCACAAATTGAGTTTATTGATCGTGACAGTAATTTATCCATAACATATGAAACCAAAACGGTATTGTATGATTTTTCTGATAATGTCATATTCTCTGAATTGAATGGTTCATTGGTGAAGACTTCACTTTCACACTAGTTACCATCATCCATACAAATGAAATATCTAAGGCGTAATTCAATGAAACAAAACAGAGCTGTCCTACTGTAATAATACTATTGTCTCTTAACATATTAAGAAACTCTAGGGAATTCTGAAATAGGTCTTAGGTCTTTACTACTCTGGATGAAGATTCAGTAACTTTTTCAAGGTATACCATTAAAATTACATTCAGCTGACGAGTTCTAAATAGAACGAAATGCGCATCCTGGATTCCACTGCTAGTCACTATCCACCAGTTAAGTTCTAATTAAATGCCCAGACATCGTGGAAGCATCTGCACAAGAAGCCGACATGTCAACCTGAGACCGAGCACTTCGGTCCAATCAATCGACGGGAAAATCTAAAATTCAATTAAATTGACATGACCCATTGCACAAGAGGTGGCTCTCGTGGCCCAAGTGGTCTAGTGGATAACGCTTTGACGTTTGAAACTATGGGCACTGGGTTTGAACCTCGGTGGGAACATCATCACTCACTGGGAATACAGGTACACCTAGATGACGAGTCCCAAACATGACGAAATTAACATCGTGGATTCCACTGCTAGCCGCCATCCATCAGTTATATACCATTACATCTTGTACAGCTAAATTTAAAATTAAGAAAATGTCTCCAATTATTCAAATCTCGGAGTAAAGCCCGAATTTTCAGTTATATTTCTTTTAATTTTTACTAAGGTATTACTCTTCTGCCTCTCCAACCAAAAGAGTAAAGTGATCATATTCTTTTTGGAAATGAAACTCCTGCACAAACACCTTATCATTGTCGTTGATATCTTGACTCCACTTCTAAGTTAAGATAAGAACAACTCAAGGCATATATTACATTCCGTTTGAAATCAATCAGATAGATGGTTCAGAATCGGTGTGCTCAAAATGAAATGTAAATTCAGCATCAATCGTTTCAAGTCATTTTTCCCTATATACGTACCTATGCTTATATAGATGATGTATATTAATTCTCTGTTCTGCAAATGGAATCCATCTTATGGATTATGTGGACAGATAAATTTTAAATAGGTTTCACGTCCATCATTACAGATTGAAAAATTTGACTATTCATTGTTTAAATAGAATTCATTTCCCTGTTTCTTTAAAACTTCCCTTAAATCTCTGTTTTTTAGATGTCATATTGATTTATGAAAGATTTGGACGGTAGATTTGCAAATAAACACCTTACATTTTATTTAGAGTACTCCCGGACCCCTAGTAGCCTGCATAGACTAATCTTCGACTAGTTATGCTGATAACTGTCAAGCAGTTAGTAATGTGTACAGCGTATACAGTAGTTACGTATACATTTCCTTTTTAATGTCTGTTTGTTGTCTGTATTTTGTGGTCATTTGAGTCGGTAAATTATGAAGTGTAAAATTCTCAAGAGTTAGTTTGTTAGGATTTAATTTGTCTCAAGTTTGGTCACAGATTGAAGTCAGCTAGAGAACCGATGAGAACCATGGAGTTATTAACAGCCGCTTCGCCCTTGTTTGGTAATCCTCATCAGTACGCATCCACCGGCGTTCAAACTCAGGACCTCAGGGTACAAGGAGAGCTCGTAGACTACTCAGACACTGGGAACCAGTCTAATGGCCAATGAATTCCAAATTCTACCAATTCGTAATTTTAGAACGACCACCAGCTGGTGCCATCGGTGAATATTTGTCTGACTGGCTACATGACACATTTGCCTGGATTTCTAGTGAGAAACCGTAACCAGTGGGGTCCACCAAGTTAGGCGTATGGGCAAATACTCGTCGACGGCATTAGCTGGTAGTCGCTCTAAAATCACGAATTGGTAGAATTTGGAATTCATGGGCCATTGAGCCGGTTCTTAGTGCCGGAGTGGCCTACGAGCTTGCCTTGTACCTGAGAGGTTGTTGGTTCAATCTCTGGTGGATGCGTACTGACGAGGAGTCCCAAACTAGGACGAAACAGCTATGCAGTACTCCCTGGTTTTCAATGGTTCTCTAAATGACATCACTCCATGATCAAATTTGAAACATCTAAAATTGGTTGTTCTTTTACTAAATACTTCTCATGATTCTATAACGTGCATCAGAAAAGTTATCATCATCCGGTAAGTGTTTGACAAGAAATATAGCTTTATAAATTCAAATAAGGAAGGAAATAATTTTATTTATCTCATAAAGATACTACCTTGTATTTTTGGTCATTTATGCTGATTTCTGCTAAACTGATATATGTGATCTTATTAAATGACCAATCGAGTAAGAAAAAATGACACTTTCCGGAAACTTCATTGTCTCTTGAGTGAGTTTAATTCTCCTTTGAATAAATAAAATCTTAATGAAAAAATGTTTACAATATGTTGAAAACTACCCTGTTTTTAACAACCAATAAGAGATAGTTTAATCTTTTTGTGTGACCAAATAAGTTTTTTTAAATTGAACATCAGTATCTAAGTGATTAACCTGACTACATCTGTCATGAAATCTCGCTTATTACAGAGTCATAAATGATCTCCTGATGCAGCAATAGTACAGGACACCATAGTAGCATAATTTTATTTGATAAATGACAGTGGTACAGTATTATTTAGTGATAATAATACTATATCACTATTTTTCAAATGAAATTATTCTATTATGGGATTGCACTCTACCATTATTATAAGTAATACAGGAAAATCTCCTTCATACGCTTTCACTGTATGGCGTGTGCTACTGATAAGAGTTATCAGGAGTATATAAAGAGATGTTCATCGGCATTACAACATCAAAGAACAGGGAAATACATTTGATGTCAGAGAAAGCAAAGGATACAGAGTTGCGGAAATCATGAGAGACGTGAAAGGAACACAGAGAAACACAGTATGAAGGCCAGAAGTAGCACAACACGAAAGATGTGTTCAAATGGTGCGTTGAAGACAAGATGTACATAATTTGGCAACATAGAGATAAACTGTAAACAAAGACTCCTATACCAAGTCTCTTGTTGTCTATATTTACAGTGAGAGTCTTTGGACATGTTGGAAATTAGAAACATGCCGTGGGATACTAAAGTCAATTATGGACACAGATAAACTAATAACATGTTAAATCTTTAAATTGCGTGAATTATCCCCTGAAGTGAGATAAATATCCTGTTTTTGAAGATTTAGGAAAGCACATGGCAAAGAAGTAACTTGTAATTTTCACTAACCAGCAGTTAACACTTTTCAAAATTACTATGACTATAGTTATGAAAAAATAAAGATACTAAAAAAATCAATCAATCCCAATCATCACTAAGTATCTTTACACAATATTAAGAGCTGGAGAATGAAACAGCAGCATCCCTTATCTCTTCAATAAACTCTTAATACAGTTCTTATTTACATGAATTTAGCATTAGAAGACTTTATTCGAGTCTTCTTTAACATTAGCTCCAGAATTAGTAAAACACGTTACCCTCTTAACAATAAAGCTATATGATGATTGAAGAGAGCTATGCATAGTGCAATATCTTTTCATACACAATCAGTAACCCTGCATACATATTTCAGTACTACATTTATCATCAAAATAAAATAGAATTCCCAGTTCGCTAAAAACACACTTCATCAATTCAACCAATGTAGAGATGGCAAGCAGAATTTATTTATTTATAAAGATACAAGATATACAATGTCAGTTAAAAAGATATGTTAAGTGAGAAAATGTATGTTGCAAAGATGAAAATTCTGCATTTAAAAAATATCTGTCTTTTAATGTGTAAATTATAACCAATAATGAATTCAGTTGAATAGTATTTTTATGACTTTTATAATTTTCTCTTTAGATTTTTAATGTTTTAGAGGGTTTTATTTTGAAATTTACACTTTGATTTTATATGAAGTTGTGTGAGTGACTTCAATGAACTAGAAATAATAGTAGATAGCATATTCAATTCTGTAATAGTTTTTATATTTGCAACACAAATTTTACTGTATTTTTCCTAGATAATTAATTATTTGAGTACATATCACAGTACACTGTTGATATTTTAAAATGAAATTAATTGTGTACATCCTCATGCCACACGAAAGAGACAAATACTGAATGTATGTAATGCTCTGGATCTACTCATACTACTAATGAGTAGCTTGATAATTATGAGATAATTGTAAAAACTATTGGATTTTAATGAGAAGCTGACGAAGATAATGATGTTGAGGATAAAATACACTCAATACTAAATGGTGAATCATTTGATTTACTTAACTTTATGTCATTATTAAAACAATCCTTTAAAGTGTTTATCTTAGACTGATGTAGTTCTGTAACACTAGATTGGAAAGGTAATTGTCTTTGATTGGTCATGTGATTATTTCGTTGTAATTCATTCCATAAATTCATATCCCCCAGTGGAAAATTGAGATGAAAGTTTGTCCATAATGGGTGGGGATGAATTAAAGCGATATCATTAGAGTGAGTGTTGGACTGTTTACAAAAAGACATAAATTGAGAAGATAAATCCATACAGTTTTGTGGCACTGTGATATGCTGAAATAAATGATTTTGTTCAAATTCTTTGACTTGATTTACCGGAGAAACTAAACTTAATGGCATGTCATCAGCAGAGTTTGATGTTTCACTACCTTTTGGTCCAATAGTTGAAAATTTGGAGTTCTTCTGCATAGTTTTAGTCGAAGAAGAAATCTTTGAAATATGGTTCTGCTTAGCCATAGTTTGTTTCTTTTTGACAGCTTGAATACGTTTTTCAATTAATTTCCGTCTTCTTTTTTCTAAACGATTCGCTTCTCTTTTTAATAACTCCTTTGGATCAATTGGTTCACCTGAACATGTGATTAGTTGAGCATTATGTGCTGGCCTTCCAGGTCCTATATCAGTCAAATAACAAAAGAAGTTAATGGTAAATCAAGTAAGTAAACCGTTGACAGCAAAATTATTTGAGCAGTACTACTTCTGGTTTTCACACGGCATAGGTTTTCAACAAGTAGAAGTTAAACCATTTATTTTTGGTCATCAATGAAGTTGATAAAATGAAAGTATTACCTACTTAAACACATGGCGCTATATACTACTAACTGACTGATATAAGTAGTTGTTTGCCACTCACATCAACTGGTAGTAGATACAACGTTGTAAACATAAAATAGTTCTCTAAATTAATAACCAAAAAGGTAATTTAATTCGTCAAAGCTAACACCTTTACAACTGAAGTATCCCTTTGTTATAGTCTTCGCTTTATTGGTTCTCCCTACCACAAAGTATTCAAATAAATTCCATATTAACTTCAATGTTTTTCAAATATTTGTTTATGACTTCATTAGTTTAGACCTTTCAACAAGTTCTTCCTGGAAGTAAGGAATATGGAATGCAAAACAGTGATCAGTCCTTATTTACGACTGATAGATCAGGTTGACATTAAGATTTATTTTACAATTTTTATCAGTTACAAAACTGGATCAAAACTACTATAAACTAAATTACTTATATTCGACTTAACTGAAGGATATTTTGTTATTCTTTATTAACACTTGCTAAAATAATCTACTTGAGTTCATTTGGCATAATACCTTCATGATGCTTGACCCATCTTTCCCCTTTTCATGCCTACTACTTAACAAAAGTTTGTTTAGAAGTTAAGTCGCGAAATGATATCAATTAGAGAACCACTGAAAACCTGGGAGTTTTGGACTATTCAATAGTACTCAAGCATGACTCCACCATGGGTCGAACCCAGGACCTCCAAGTTACGAGGCGAGTCCGCTGGTTGACCATTCAGTCACTAGAACTCAATCCAATATCGAATGAATTATAATACCTGCCATTTCGCTACAGCTTCCCCTAACTGATCTCAGCTCGCTATCTAACTTGAAATCAATTTAATCTCTGCAAAATAACACCTAAAATGGTTTTATCTCACTAATTATGTTCACTTACCTTTACGTGTATGTTCTCGTTTACGCCACTTAGCTCTTCTGTTTTGAAACCACACCTTTCAGAATTAAAATAAAAGATCAAAGAGAAATGAATAACTTCCTGAATGATGTCTGTTCGTCTTGAATATTTTTATGAAATATTTTATATGAGAAATAAATTTGTTGAATGGCGATAGTTCCAAAATTTCTTAAATAAATTGTCAAGTATTGGTTTTGTAGGGATTTCGTTTGATTGCATGGGGGATTTCATCATGAGCTGACATCAGTTAGAGAACCATTGGAAAACCAGATGGGAGTACTGGACAGCTGTTTCGTCCTAGTCTGGGACTCTTCATCAGTACGCACCCATCGGTGTTCGAACCCAGCACCTTCTGATCACAAGGTGAGCTCGTAGACCATTGAGCCACTGGGACCTATTCCAGGTTGAAGATAAGGCAGTAACTCATCGAAGAAGACATCGCGAAATGGTCGCGCTATGTCATGAATTGGCAGATGTTGGAATTCATGCACCGGCCATTGGATCGGGTCCTAGTGGCTCAATGACCTACGAGCTCGCCTTGTAACCAGAAGGTGCTGGGTTCGAACCCTGGCGGTAGGTGCGCACTGGTGAAGAGTCCCAAACTAGGACAAAACAGGTGGCTGTCCAGTACTCCCAGATTTTCCAATAGTTCTATAACTGATGTCAGCTCATGATGAAATCCTCCATCCAATTAAGTATATTGGTTATTTCATCTGCTTTACAATATTAAGGAAGAAGTGAAGTACATTAAAGCCACGCTAATATATTTGTGAAATTTCCTTTGAAAACGAGTTATCAAATTCCAGTAGTGTTGATATATATATATAATCCTAACCGTTTGAATTGCATTCCAGTACAGCCTTTCCAGAAGTTAGATGTGAAAGTAGGAAACTCACTCTCCTTTACTCGCTTGATGGCAGAAAACTGAATTCATCTGAGTCTATACCACTTAGTACAGAAAAATGACTGTCAGGTCAAAGACCACATCACCACTAAAATGTCCGTCAGTTGGGCTTACTAAATTATTGATGATAAGCAGAGTTAGTTATGGTCAAGTTTTTTTTTAATATGATAAATTGTGCACATGGCTAAACTTATATCAAGTTTCATTACTAAGTAATTATTGTAAGATCAGCTGAAATGAGAATGTACGCTGGTAATGATTTTCTCTAGGCAGTCATCGCTTTTAGTCAATCATGATACACTTTTATGGTATTTATTTTACACCACAACATTTATGGATTTAGAATCTCTATAAAATATTTCAGCTATAATCTCATTCATAATTCCTTAGTCCTCCACTGTATTATGCAAATAGTACCACATTAAAAGGTTTACTCAAATCATTAAGAAAACCTAAGGTAATTCACACAGTCAACAAAATATTGCTTACCTGTATACGAGATTCTGGCAGGCCTAAACGCTGTGCTAATTCTTCTCTTACAACCATACTTGGATAATGACTAACACGGAAAACTAATTCTAGTTCTGTTAACTGTTGTCCTGAGAAATTAGTACGTGTTCTTCTACGACGTTTACCATTACGATTATCATTACTACCATCGTCATCATCGTCATCATCGTCACCATCTCCGTCATCAATGTCATCAATATCATTTATATCACTGCCAATATTTGATTTAGTCTCAGTTACAGAAATATCAATTTCTTCAGATGATAATAAATGACTGTCAGCATTGTACTCATCAACAACATCAACATCATTATCATGGCTGCTTTGTTCACTCCATTTCTGATAGGTATTATTTTCAGTATGTATTTCACTATCTGATTTATAACCATGATTTATTACGTAATAATCTTTACTCTTGCATCTTCTTCTTCTTGTTGTTCCTTCTCCTCCTTTCTATTTAATTCTTTGGACTTGAATACTGATTCATTTGTTTTATTTTTATAACTTGAAGATTTACAGTTTAATTTTGCTTTTAGCATAGATGAAGAATTTGTTGATAATTCTGTGTACTTCTTACAAACTGATACATTACTAGAGCCAGTACTTGATTGATCATGTGATGAGATGTTTACCTGTCCACCTATATTGTTAAGAAAAAGAAGAATAAATTGGCGAATATTATGTAAACGAAGAATAAATATTATGGTTACAAGGCGAGCTCGTAGACCATTAAGTCACTGGGACCCGATCCAATGGCCCATGAATTCTAACTTCCGCAAATTCACGACATAGCGCGACAACTTAGCAATGTCTTCGATGAGTAACTGTCCTGAGTTTGAACCCCAGTGGGTGCGTACTGTTGAAGAGTTCCAAACTAGGCTGACGAAACAGCTGTCCAGTACTTCCAACTGGCTTTCCAATGGTTCTCTAACCGATGTTAGCTCATTATGAAGTCCTCCAATATATATAACTTTATAATGAAATCTACTTTGAAATCAGTTTAATCTTCATAAATCTAACATTCAAAATATGATCCACTGCTTGTTAGTGACTTACTACACAGGATGGACTTCCTTGAATTTCAACCAAAGACTGTAGTTGATAGTGTTCATCAAGTCATGATAGATACTCACAGACGACGTTGGATAGCAACAGCTGTATATCGAGAAGTGAAAGAAATCTGAGTTTGTGGGGCCACTAGATTTGTGACCCGTTGGCCGAATAACAAAATACTTATCTCGTAATCCAAAAGTATTGGGTTTTGAGCCCTAGTGAAATCCTGGGTATCTGCTAAACATCTATCCTCTGACATCTGCTTTTCCCCTTGCCTCTCTAATTGTTTTCGGTCCGTGATGAAGCTTTTCTTGAAATATATATGATTTGATTCCTTTTGCCACTGTATTTATAAATCACAAGACTAAGCTTAGATGAAAACTGGTTAATAATACCAAAGTCGCTTTTATTCTTTTGGTGTAAATAGAGAAAAAACTTAACTACTTTATAGAAATAAGTAACAGAAAACACTTTGAAGTAAGAATGAAGTTTTAATATCATCATTACATGCCTAGAATGAATATGGCAGTGCAACTATAGACGAAATAATATCGTTAAACTGATGGATTTTTTTTCTGTTGTTACGGAGGCTTTTCTTTTTATTTCTGACTGGGGTGTGTTAACCGATTTCCGTCTCGCTGTTCTTCCAACATTACGACATACTTCATTTTTGCAATAAAAGAAACAATGAAAACCAGGGAGTATCGAAAATCTAATTTGAAATTCACCAAGTACCTACGAACCTAACAAACTGACAAAATGTATCTACATCTTTAGCTCCTTTGCATCATTCGAGTCAACACCTTACGACATTTGTCAAACATCTCATTTTGAGCAATTTAGTCCGTCATATTTAAGAGAAAGGCGAAAGGAGAAGACATTCATTCAACTTGTTAAATTTACGTCTTTCTTTCCCACTTATTGTCGCTTAACTTCATGTCCATATCTGTGAGTTGTTTTCCTTTATTTCATGATATATAATTATTAAAAATCACACCTATTCGTAATATGACCTAGCAACACAATCAAATTGTCTTCTCTTAGTCATAAACCCTGATCTACTCACTTAACCAAGTTCCGTTGACAGATTGAGGTTAGCAGTTTACTTGATTTATGCCTGAGGGATATACATACTATACATGCATACACTATTACCTATACATAATATCATGTGTATTTATTTATGTCAACAACAAAAATTACGTAATCACCAGCTTGGTAGCAAAATCTGATTGGAAAATTGACAGGCGAATGAATATCCCGTGAAGTCAAAGAGAAATTAATGTTTAGACAGGAAATTATGTGTATATATATTTTCTTTCTTTCTTTCTTTCAAATTTCCAACATTGTCTTCTTTTGCATCATCATTTAAGAAATAATAAATTAAAATGAGTTTGTTGATGGGAGACAAAATTGTCTCTCTATCCTCTACAATAACACCAATTGCACACACAACCACACCTAAGCATACATATACATAAACAAACACATAGATAGATATATCATTGACAAAATTTCATACTCCCTCCATCTGTCACGTCACACTTCTTTATTCACCACATATACACACCACACCTTCATGGTTTGTTGTATGGAAAATTCTGTGAGTAAATGTGTGTCAAATCTTAAAAGATGAGATATGTGTGAGGCGAAGATTGAAATATGGGTATGACACTTTAACTTACAAATTTGTTGATAATTGTAGCAATAAAAATTAAATTACTTTTGTTCAAATATTTATATTTTTATATTTCCTAACACATAAATTTAGTGAAATACAAGTTTCGTTATCCAGTAAATATTAAATGATTGCAATACTTTATTTCAAACTTAATTACTAATAAAAAAAATTATTTGGCAACTTGTTTGAAACAAGCGATTATATAATTTACTTATATACTAAACAGTAATTCCGCCTTACCAACAATGGAGAATCCTTTTTTTCTAATAAGAAAACCAGCCCCCCTGGGGGTATGAAAACAATTATAGGTTTCAGTAAAAATAACCTTTTTTGTTGTTGTTGCTGTTGTTGTTGATATGATTACACAATTTGTATGAAGCGTGAATAAAACATTCATTCAAAATCTTAAACAATAAAGTTTTCAAGTATTGGTTTATAGGGATTTAATTTTTTGGTTGTAGCAGGTCGGACGTAAGGACAAATACTCGCCAAAGAGATTGGCTAGTGATCGCGCTATGTCATAAATTGGCAGAAGTTGGAATTCATGGGCTGGCCATTGAATCGGGTCCTAGTGGCTTAATGGTCTACGAGGTCGCTCGCCTTGCAACCGGAAGTTACTGAGTTCGACCCCTGGTGGTTAGTGCACACTGCTGAATAGTCCCAAACTAGGAGGAAACAGCTGTCCAGTACTCCCTACCGGTTTTCCAATGGTTTTCTAACCGATGTCAGTTCATGATGAAATCCTGTAACCAATAAAGTTTTCATTTATTAATTTAAGGTCCTTTCATATACATGAGGTCTTTTATGTTAGAACAGTCAGGCTTTTGTACTGAAGATGTCGAGGTAGAGGCAACTTGATAAATTCTGGTAGTAGTATAATAATAATAACCAGTAACAATTCAGACGTTTCCTTTCAAATAGGAAAAAATGAATTCAATTCTCAATGATTTAAAAGGAGTACGAAATTCAAGTGTTTGAATTTATACTGGTCAACTAGATGGATAACTTATAAAGTCTCTTCTATGCAAATACCCGATTTATATTAATTATTCACTTGGTCATTCATCATTTCAACATTTGATTTTACTTTAAGGTGATTAAAAGACCAACAATTACTTACATCAGTTAAATAAACTGTTTCAGATCCCGAAGTCCTTTCGTACGATATTGAGGAACTCTGTGTAGCAATGTGAAGCATTCATGGTGGGGGGTGCTCGATGTCCAAAGTTGACAAGGTGTTCGAGAATGGAGCTGCCAGTATTCTTCTTTTCTCCTTTCTTTAGCCAAGCTGGACAGCGTTCTAGAATACTTTTGCTGACTTGACTTTGCGTACGGCCGGCCGATATACTTTGCTCCACATGAACAAGTAAACTGATAAATACACACCGAGGTGACCAAAAGGGGTATCTTGTCCTTAACGTTAGACTGGATTAACTGTCTGCTGGAGAATGTGATACGTAAGGTGGCTGCTTGTAATGTCTTCTTTAGACATTTAGAAAGGCGGTTTCTAAGAATTTCTGCTTCGATGTCACCTTTGGATTCCAGGTTCATGAAGAGAGTTTTCTTAGGAATACTAACAGCTCCATCTTTGAACACCTTGTCAACTCTGGACATCGAGCACCGTATGAATGCTTCACAGTGCTACACAGAGTTCCTAAATAAACTGTGCCTATTACTTTCATGATAATTATATCAAGCATAATCTGACTTAGTAAGGTATTAATCATTTTTTAGATAACTACTGTCATGTTATTAAAAGGTTGGAAACAGTCATCAAAAGGAAACCCTAAACCTATATTCCGTGCTTATTGCCACTTGTCAGTAAGGTGTGTCGGCAACCTCAAAGGAATTAATGTCACCCTGATGATTTTAAATCCTACATATACAGTCCTAATTTTAAAGGATAGATAGTGTTTATGGATTTCTATCGAAGCAGAAGTTTTAGAAGGACAATTTTGGAATGATATTAAAGTAAATATTTTAAGGAAAGTGTTAAAACTTATATAATGACGAAATGAAACACTGCAGTTACATTTATTAACCTAATAAAGCTGAAGTCAGTTATAATAAGCTTTACATCTGCTTTTTATCAATATGTATTTCTCGTCTGACATAGTCGACATTATTTAAAAGACTGATTAATGAACAAAGAATATTCTTCTCGATAAAGGCAAATGGGGTAGCAAAATGGTCTCTCCACTGGGTCATATGTTAGCAGATTTCTTTTTGAGTAGGCTAGAAAATGATCCTTTAAACAACCTTATCAGGAAATTCTTATTTTATTGCTGCTATACGGATGATACCTTCATCCTTTGTGAAAATGATTTGGACAGAAACGCAATGATTCCTTATTTCAATGAAATACGTTTGACGATCAGATTTACGTGTGAAGAAGAATCCCAAAGTAAAATTGCCCTTTCAGATGTCCTTCTGAAGAGAAGACCGAACAGTAGAGTAAAAAAGAATCTGCATAAGAAAAGTACTTGGAGCGGTCAATATATACATTTCCACTGCTCTGTTCCTCTCCGATATGAAAGAAATCTGTTGAAGACCCACAGCTATAGGGTCAGAGCTATATATTCAGAAGATGCGATTGAAGAAGAATTTAGGATTCTATACGATACATTAACTGAAAACAGCTACCCTGGAAAGCTCGTCACTAAACACATGGCCAAGACAGTAGAAAAGAATCTTTCTGTATCTGTTAACAAGAAGTTTCTATGTATGCGACTACAACTCAAAGGTGATATACCAAGTGAAATAATAACTAACAAGTTGAGAAAATCAATTCAAAGAACATTTAATGCCGGTAAGCTGCAGCTTATATTTTCCACTCAACCGTGGAGCCAGTTATATTGGCACTTGCTCTAGAAACCTAATTTTCCGTTCTCGAGAACACCTATCAG